TTGCGAAACAAACAAAAGAAAAGAAAACTGTGAAATGTCTTGAAATGTCATAAAAGCATTTGAAATGTGGCATTTCCATTTTTTTTTTTTTTTGGGAAATAGCCAAACAGGCCCACAGATATTATTGAGTTGACGATCAATACCATAAAAAAACTTTATTTTTTTTATTTTTATTCTATTTTTATTAATTTAAATAATCATGATATTTAACCATGTGCACTAAACCATAAATCTGCATGATACAAGTATTGTCGCACTCTCTCTCATGCATGCACGAATTTAATGTGCAATATTGCACAAAGCCCTCTCAAACTCATTCTCATTAAAACCTATACAATTTACATGTATGTATATATATGATATCTTTTTGAATGAAAACCTTAGTTCAATGATTTGTATCTTGTTTTTTTGTAAAACTTGTCTCTTAATACAAATGACAGGGTATATCCATTGTTTTTGCTAAAAAAAATGATTCGTCTCTCCTATCTCTGGCTTCTGAGGCTGCAAATTCTTGTGCACTTTTGCCCAAAAGCATCTCAGCTCTTAATTTGTATGTTACATGCTCCCATCACATATATCTATACTGTATCGTAATCATAGTAGTTATACTCACTCTAAGTATGAAAATTACAAATAAGACCCTAGAATATGAAATCATTTCATTTTCTTCCTTTAAAAGAGCGAATTTTTGGGGAGAATTTTTCTTGGACAATATTGCCCTTGATCTTCATAAAGATCACATTATGATTTTATCTTATTCTCATCCTAACTAGAAGAACCTTTTAAATAGATGCTAAATTATCCTACTTACTTGTTTGGTTCGAATTGTTAAATGAACCATAAATCTACCAAATAAAAGTCTTGTCACCCTCCCTCCTATGCATGCACGAATTTAATGTGCAATATTGCAAAAACCATATATATATATTAGTTGGATTACACGTGCAATGCACGTGGTAATTTTTTAAATTTATTATTTTATTATTGATTCATTTTATTAAGATTTATTTAATTCAAACCATGTATCAAACATATGGATAGAATTTAAAAATTCAAAAGGATTGAATAATAAAATTACATTTATGTATCAACTG